TATTATATATAAAATATATTTAGCGATTAACTAGCTTTTATACAGCATAATAAGAAAAGTTTTTATCTGCACCATTTTTAATTAAATGCTCTTTCATTTTCACTAATAAGATGTAATGAAGAATTAAAATTCAATTAACAGTTCTTTCATTTTGCTTCAGACTGGGCCTCCAGTGTTTACTGGTGTTCAGGCTTTGGTTTTCCCTATTAGCTGTTCAGCTGGTTTACATAGAGCCTCCTTGAGCTCACTCACAAGAGGACTTTGGCCCTGTGCTTGTTTGATGAGGCTGAAAAGAGTGTATTTTGATGGGAGAGAAGGAGAGAAGGCAATTGTTGAGGAGAAATACCAGACTGGTATCCAAAGAGGTTCTTAATTAGTTTCCAAAGTGACCCATAGAGGTCCCACTTAAGCTTGTCTCGGTCTCTCTCCTGCCCAACAAAAACAGTTCATTGAGACTTAAAAATACCAGTCATCCAACTTGCAACTAAAGGACCCTTTAATTCTGGTCTTTTATTGTTACAATAGGAAATCAATTATGCAGCCTATGATGTTATAGAATGTATCTGCTTAACTAAATGTTATAAACCTAACCAGGTGCATAAATTGTGTCACCTTATACATTGCGTGGTTCTGGGCAGAAAGCCATTTCTGCATAGGTATAAATAGCAGCTGAGTTGCATTTGGCTGTCAATTACGGCTGAGAATTCCCATGGAGCAAGATGATGATGATGGTTCAGCTGGAGCCACATAAGAGCTCTCCACTGAAGCAAACCATTGTCAGAGAGATTAATTGTCTGCCACGTCTACTGATTGCCTTGCTGCGTCTCTGTAAGAACAAGGCAGGGCTGCATTCTCACAAGGATTTCCTCCTTAGAACACTGAGCGTGATCAATCTTATGGCTGAAGCAAGTCTCCAATAAGGTCCTCTTCTTTTTGCTCTATGTGTCTGTATTCAATGAGCTTCTCAGAGAATTCCACACTTCCTCTTAGTCTGACTGGCTCCTGACCTGGAGTCAATCGGGCCATTCCCCGTCATACAGTAATTCTAAAGGAATGTGTTCAGGATTCTTATTGGAATTTCTACAATAATTAGGAATCATAATTAAAAAAAAAAAAAAAAAGTGGGATTGATTTTATTTAAATCTTGCGTCCTATTGGATATTATGCGGTCTTTATTGTATTGAAAAAATGTCTTCCAACACAGTTGAAGAAATAGCTATAATATTTTTATTTTAATAATTAAATTACAAAATTTTGATTTAAATATATAGTTGAGCGATTGAGAACATTGTGATCTAATAGATTTTTTTGTCATGTTGGAATTAGGGTTATTAGGGTTAACTAAAACTAAGACCAAAAAAAAAAAGAGAATAAAATAAATGTAAACCGAAACAAAACTAAAACTAAAATATTAAAAACTTCAACACTATTCATTGATTTTTAGTTTAACTTGATTTGTTAAAGGAACACTCCACTATTTTTGGAAATAGGATCATTTTCCAACTCCCCTAGAGTTAAACTGAGTTTTACTGTTTTCGAATCCATTCAGCCGATCTCCGGGTTTGGGTGGTAGCACTTTTAGCTTAGCTTAGCATAGATCATTGAATCTGATTAGACCGTTAGCATCTCGCTCAAAAATGACCAAAACAGTTTCTATATTTTTCCTATTTATAACTTGACTCTTCTGTAGTTACATCGTGTACTAAGACCGACGGAAAATGAAAAATGTTCTAGGCCGATATGGCTAGGAACTATACTCTCATTCCGGCGTAATAATCAAGGAACTTTGCTGCCGTACCATGGGTGCAGCAGGCGCAATGAAATTAAAATATATTAGATATATTATTATTAAAAATATAGAAACTCTTTAGTCATTTTTGAGCGAGATGCTAACGGTCTAATCAGATTCAATGATCTATGCTAAGCTACAGCTAAAAGTGCTACCGCCAGACCCGGAGATCGGCTGAATGGATTCGAAAACGGTCAAACTCAACTGTTTAACTCTAGGGGAGTTGGAAAATGAGCCTATTTTCAAAAATAGTGGAGTGTTCCTTTAACAAATCAAGTTAAACTAAAAATCAATGAATAGTGTTGAAGTTTTTAATATTTTAGTTTTAGTTTTGTTTCGGTTTACATTTATTTTATTCTCTTTTTTTTTTTGGTCTTAGTTTTAGTTAACCCTAATAACCCTAATTCCAACATGACAAAAAAATCTATTAGATCACAATGTTCTCAATCGCTCAACTATATATTTAAATCAAAATTTTGTAATTTAATTATTAAAATAAAAATATTATAGCTATTTCTTCAACTGTGTTGGAAGACATTTTTTCAATACAATAAAGACCGCATAATATCCAATAGGACGCAAGATTTAAATAAAATCAATCCCACTTTTTTTTTTTTTTTTTTTTTTTTTTTTTTTCCTAATTTTTTTGAAATTTCA